CTTGACTGCAAAGCGAGGGATATTTCTGTCTGTTAAAAGATGTCTGACAGAAGTCCAGTCAGGAGACGTGGTTAGATTTTGGAGTCGAATATCTGGTTGGAACTCTAGGCATTCCATTTGAAAACTGGCAGGTAATGCATTTGTATCAACTTAAAATGGGGTCACCCACATAAAGGGATGATTTTTTGGCAAAATTGAAACCGATTTCCAAATTCCTTTATCAAAAGAGAAAGCATGGCTGCACATTCTTTGCTGTTCAGAGCACTGCGTGGGGCCGGGGCTGGGCTGCACTGCTGGCTGTGCGGAGCTGCGCATTGGGTACACCTGCTCTGGGTCCCAGAGAGAGCTCCAACACACAAAGTAAAGCAATACGGTGCACAACTCTCTTGCAAAATGCTACTTTAGGATTCAGCATTCACCAAGAAAGAGCAAACCTAGCTTTTACAACGGCTCACACAAATTACCCAAAGACACCCTGTGAGACAGAAGGCATGAAGATTCATGGAGGCAATCAGCTTTTTTGGGGGTGGAGTTTCAAGCACGCAGCCCAGCCTGGAGCACAGCCCCAGGTGCCCCTTTTCCGTTTGTAATCCTGCAGGAGTAGAGCACCTGCTGGGGCACAGAGCATCATCTGGACAGTTTCCACTGACAGAAGTAGAGCATCATTCTGGGGCAGAAAAAGGAAAAAAAAAAAAAAGAAAAGAGCATAGCTATATTCAAATACTTTGAACTGAACTTTTCACCCTGCAGGATGAGCTCACTTCAGGACTCACATCGTGAGAGGTTTGGAAAAAAATATTCAAACATCCTGATTTGTGTTTCCAGTGCTACGGATTAAAAGCTGCAGAAATGCCTTCTCCTCCACCATCCATCAACTCTGATCCTGGTACAGAGACCCACAAACTCCTCAGGGTCGGAAGGGTCCTCTGAGGGCCATCCGCACCAACCCCCCTGCAGCGCACAGAGACACCGCAGCTGGGTCAGGTCTCCAGGGACAGAGCACCCAGCGCACCTCCGTGTGACCTGTGCCAGTGCCTCACCACCTCTCTGCAGAAGATTTCGTCCCTATAGCCATCCTAAATCTCCCCTCTTGGAACTTGCAGCCATTTCCCTCTTGGAGCTGGAAACCACACTGACACTTTGGTCAGTTTTGGAGCAGAAAATGAGATGAGATGTAGATAGACAGATAACTCGATGTTTTTCTTCCTTGATTTACTATTTATTATGATCTCGCTGACCGACTGCACGCCGCACGCCCAGCACTGCCGCCAGCTCCAAGCACTACCTGCCCGCCGGGCCGCCAGCGCAGCGCCCTTACGCCAACGAGCCGCCGCTTCCGCTCTTCTCGGCACATGCGCAGCACGAGCAGGAGGACCCGCTACCATAGAGTTGGAGGGCTGGAGGCACAGAGCAGTCAGAGCAAAGAGGCACCACTTCCGGGTTTCCGGAGGCGTCAGTGTCTGGAGGATCGCTTCGTATTACCGCAGGGACGGGCGGTACGGAGCGGAGAGAGCAGAGCGACGCGTCGTGCCGCTCCGGGACGGCTCTGTGGTGCTCTGCGGGACCGTGCGGGCCCCGGGGGGCCCAGAGCGCCCAGAGCGCTCCCAGGGCTCGTCTGATCCCCCGCTGCCCCGAAAACCGCTGCCGAGGCGGTCCCGACTGCAATTCTGCGCTCCGGTCAAGCGGTGGCAGCAGAGACCGAGAAAAGAGCGGCGCGGGGCGTGGGTACCGGCGATGGGAGCGGTGCGAGCCTGGGGCTTGGCTCTGCTCGGGTAAATGCGTCCATTCCAACTGCATTCAGGCTCGGCTAGCTCGGAGCTCTGTGCCAAAGTGGTTGGCATTTGTCATTGCTGAGCGCACAAGAGGTTCGACCAAAGGTGACGATGCCCGGAAGGCAGAAGGATGGAGAAAAGCGTGGCCACATCCCTGGCACGGAGCCGAGCCCGTAGCTGGAGAAGGGGGTTGTTCTGCCGGATGTGGACTGGGAGCGGTTCTGTGCCACGGCCCGAATCTGCCCTTCTTTGGCTCCGGTCGGGCCAGGAGCTGCTGCGCGGTGCCGCACACCGTGCGTGTGCCGTAACCCCACGCTGCTCCGTGTGCACGGTGGTTGTGGAGGGCCGTGGTTGTGGGGGGGACCCGAGACCGCCTTCAGCCGGGCGACTGACTCCTGGGTTCTCCGTGGACTTGGTACAACCTGTGTTTGTTGTGCACCTTTCACAAGCATGTGACAGTACAGTGTTTGCTCTGATGCCTTCACGAGGCTGTCACAGCCGTGTCTCCTGTCTCCGGTTAGCCACAGGTCCACCTGTGAACCAGACAGAAAGAGGACGAGAATTCACAGTGTTACAGTTCTGTATGGCGTTGTCACAGTCTGAGCCACAAAGAAACACTTGTTCACACGCCTACAGAGTATTGAGAGTGAGACATAAATATGTGCGTATACATGCATACAGAGCGTCTGATCCTTCACCAATCGTAATGGAACTTCTTTTCACCAGCTGCGTATTCACATAGGTTTCACCTTTATAAATGTCCACAGTCCATAAATGCCTCATGAAGCTCATGCAGACTGGGACGTGCTTGATCGTTTTTCCAAATCATTTCACTGATGGGCTCCGCCACAAGCTCACCTGAAGCGCAACGGTGCCCAAGCCCAGTGAAAAGTGTTGAAAAGCAGCAAGGGGCTGGAGATGGAGAAGGGTGAAAGAAGAGCTCGGGTGATGTTTGCACAAAGAACAGAATGTGGAGAGGAACAGCATCCCCAGGTCTTCAAACTGACAGAAGTGTTGAGATTGTTTCACTCCCTTCTTCAAGAGTGGATGTGCAGTGGGGTTCATGCCAGCTGACCAGAAAGACACCGAACCTCTATTCATCAGGGGAAGAGAAGGGTTAGGATGAGCCTGGAAATTATCAACTACTTGGTGTACCATCAAGTCCCGGGACAATTCTAGAAGCCATCACCCAAAAAGTCTTTCTCAAAAGGTGAAATTTCCTAATGATTTTTGAAGTAGAAGTCACTCTAAGAGGAAATCAGATACAGTTGCACATACAGCACACAGTCCAATTGCGCAGAAATTTCTTTGCAAACTGTGCAAAACAAAATGATAACAAACTCGTGAATGCCTCAGAACAAAAACTGTGCTGCCATGCTCCTGCGAAAGGTGCAGAACAAACATGTTGTGCGTGAGCACAATGGAGAAGTCTGGAGTTTGTTGTCTTGCTTAAGGCGGTCTCGGTTCGATCCCCAGCCCCCCGCACAACCACCATGCAATGGGAGAAGCATGACTGGTATGGCATGCACACGGTACATGGCACCAGGCACACTCCACGCCATCTGGAAACTGCTCCTGAGCCAATTGGAAGGGCCCATCCAATGGCATAAAATGCATTGCCGACTCCACAGTAGGACCATCACCCCAGTCTTTGGGAGAGCAGAACCTCCTCAGTGGGCCTGCTTGGAGGTATCCCATGGACGGGAGCTTTGGCAAGTAGGCCTGAGAGAGCTGCTTGACACTTAAACACCGCTTCCTCCAAGCTCAAGATGGATGCACCCCTGAGAGCAAGAAAGCAGGGAAAAGTGGCAGGAGAACTGCTGGATAAGCAAGGGGCTCATGGATGAACTCAAAGGGAAGAAGAGCGTACACAGCACGTGGAAGAAGGGCATTTCTACCTGGAAAGAATGTATGAGCGTTGTCAGGGCCTGCAAGGATGCAATGAGGAAGGCTAAGGCACCCTTGGGATTAAATCCAGGAAAGGCGGTCGAGGAGAACAGCAAGGGCTTTTGTGAGAATGTTGGTAGTAAAACTAGGACTGGAACACATGCGGGTCTGCCACTGAATGCCTTGGTAACAGGGGACAAAGAGAAGGCAGAGGTACTGAATGCCTTCTTTGCTTCTGTCTTTCCTACCAAGATTGCCCCTCTGAAATCTCTGAAATATTTTTTCCAATTCTCTCACGGTGGGAGTTCTTCAATGAGCTCGTACTACCTGTTGAAATGTTCAGTTAAAAATATTTTAATGTATTAAAAGTATTTTATTGTAATAATGTAATTAAAAGTATTTTGATATAATTAATAATTTTGATAAAAATCATGTTAATGTAACTTAACATGAAATTTATAATATTCCACCAGTTTTACGCTTTGTTTCTCTCCTTTTTTTCCCCCCAACGCTTTAAAAAATACTACAAATGGAAACGGTTTGCTGCTAATGAATGAACGATACAGAACAGTGGCAACCCCAAGCCATGAAACACCCCCAGAATTGGGCTGTCCTGCCAGCAGAGCCTTGATCCATCCTGACTTGAGACCTCGTGCCTCAGTGGGGCTGGGCCAGAAGCCAGCTGGGCCTGAAGGCTGCTGTGCCTCATGTGTGGGGCCTGGGAACATGGCGGCGTGGATCCTCCTGGAGGAGATGTGAAGGCACACGCGAGATGGGGAGGCGACCTAAGACAGCCAGCACGGCTTCAGCAAGGGCGGCTGTGCCTGAGCCATCTGGAGGCCTCTGGTGATGGAGTGATGGCTGTGATGGACAAAGGAAGGGCGACTGATGTCTTCTGCCTGGACTTGTGCAAGGCCTCTGACGTGGTCCCACAGCACCTCCTAATGTCTGAAGTGGAGAGATGTGCATTTGAGTGTTGGACAGACAGGTGGATGCAGGTTGTTTGGATGTTGTGCCCGAGGATTGCTGCCAGCGGCTCTGTGTCCAGGTGGAGGCCGGGCACCCAGGGGTCCGTCTGGGGACTGATGCTCGTGAACATTTTTATCAAGGACACAGACAGTGGGATTGAGTGCACCCCCAGCTGACGGCACCGAGCTGACGGTGCGCTTGGCACAGCAGAAGGCAGAGACGCTATCCAGAGGGACCTGGACCCAGGCTGGAATACAGGGCACGTGAGCATCCCGTGAGGTTTAACAAGGCCCAGTGCAAGGTGTTGCGATTGGGTTGAGGCAGTCGCAGATACGGGTGGAGACTGGGAGGAGAAGACAGCGAGAGAAGCCCTGTGGAGAAGGACCTGGGGGTCGTAATGGCCAAAAAGCCGGAGATGAGCCAGCAGCGCATGCCTGCAGCCCGGAAGGCCTGAGGAAGGTGTCCAGCAGGGCAGGGCGGTGATTGTCCGTCTCTGCTGTGCCCTTGCGAGGCCCCATCTGGAGTACTGCGCCCAAGCCTGGGGTGCCAAGCACAGGAGGGGTGTGGAGTGGTGGGAGGGGGGGTCCGGAGGAGGGCCGCAAAGAGGAGACAAGGCCTGGAGCACCGCACCTCAGAAGGCAGGTTGAGGGAGTGGGGTTCACTTTGCTTTAAGAACAGAAGGCTCTGAGGAGACCTCGTTGCAGCCTTCTCGTACTTTTAAGGGTCCTGCCAAGCTGGAGGAGGACTGACTTTTTCATGCGTTCTGATAGTGACAGGACAAGGGGGAATGGCATGAAACTAGAAGAGGATAGAGAGAGATGAGGTGTTAGAAAGAAACTGTTTCCTCAGGGAGTGGCGGGGCACTGGAACAGCGAGGTTCCGCCCTGAGGGGTTCAGGACACCCTGTCGCTGGAGTCCTGTGAGGCCAGGTTGGATGGGATCCTGGGCATTCTGATCTGGTGGTGCATGAACCTGCTCACGGCAAGGGGGTTAGAGCCGGCCCCTCCAACCTGAGCCATTCTGCTGGGGAGAAGGCAACCCTGTGGTCGAGGTCTGAACTCTGCCCACCCCAGGAAAAGACGAGAAGAATGAAGCTGATGGGGGTGGGGGTGGGATTTATTGTCTTGGCTGATGTTGACCAAGTTGAGCAGGTGTCATTAGCACCCGGCTGCTCCTGTGCAGACTGAGGTCTGGCTGTGGGGATGTGGTTCTGCAGATGGATCTGGGAGCAGCCTTGTGCCCAGGCTGGCCGCTGCTGTTGGGTTTGGCTGCTGCGGCGTGCTGGGGTCTGTGTGGGAAGTCTGCAGCCTGACATCCCGTTGCGGAAGGGCTTCATGTGTGGGCCCTCCCTTGCTGCCTGGAGGGTCTTCTGTGTCCCAGCAGCGGGGAACCCCTCGAGGGCCTCGATGTCACTGGGGCGGCTGAGCAGAGCGTGCTGCTCTGTGCAGCTCGGCGTGGCATTTGTCTGCTGCCACGGCTTCTTCTGGGCCGGCTCTGGGAACGTGAGGCCCGATCTTGAAGCGGGGAGCGGCTTCGTGCCCGGCCCGTCCCCTGCTGCCTAGGGCTCCTTCTGGGTGCAGCCACCGGGGAGTTGCTGGAGGGCCGTGGTGCCCTCCGTGGGGTGGACCTGCAGGAGCTGCTGCTGGTGCGCAGGGCTGTTGCACGGCCGCTCCCACGGCGTCCTCGGCGCCGCAGAGATGCCTCCTGATCCTCAGGGAGGCGTGGGCCGATTGCTCTCTGCCGTGTCCCAGGCTCACTGGGCAGGCGTCTGTTCTCAGGCAGCTGGGACCGGTGTGAGGGGCCTGATGCTGCCTGGCTGCTGGAGCCGGAGCTGATGTTCTCCGGACCCTGGGAGCCATGGGGAGGCTCCGGAGCCCCTTGGCTGGAAGTACTGGGGCCGGCGCGCTCCGTGTTGGTGCTGGGTCCGGCGCGCTCTGTGTTGCTGCTGGAGGCTGTAAAGGAAAGCAGGAAGGTGATCATTGGGATGAAGCTGCAGCCTTGAGTCGCAACGGGCTACCCTCCTTCCTGAGGCAGAGAGAGCCTGGCAGGGCCGCCCTGAGCAGCACCCACTGCCAGGTGTTGCCCGGCCCCTGCCTAGGGAGCCACAGCTGTTTGCATCTTACCGGTGCCTATGCCAGCACAGCTGTCACACTCCCAGCTGTTAACTCTGTTGCTCAGGTAGGAGCATTGTCGGTGGGTCCCTTCTGCAGCACAGGAGCTGCAGAGCAGCAGCTGCCAGGGCCTGGGGAAGCAAACGGGTTGTGGCTGTGAGGACAAAGTGAGCCAAGCCAGGCAGCGGCCGGCACATCTGCGGTGCTCAGCCCTGGTTCCCCATCCGGTGTTGAGGGAGAGATCCCCTGCAGAAGCCCAGAGGGCTGCTGAGGTAACTCACCCATTCACCTCTGCCTGCTCCCTGCCTCCTGGGTAAAGGCACTTGCTGACATCGCAGCGCCTGTGCCTCCGCAGAAGTGATGGGTAGGTGTTGTCGTCCCACCAAGATGGTCTCCTACAAGAGAAGGGAGGGAATGCGATGAGTCCCCGGTTCCCTGCCATGTGTGATCCGGGGTATCCCTGTTCATCCAAGGCAACCCCATTTCCAGCTTCTCTGTGAAACTGAGGCCTGTGCTGGTGAGACAGCAAAGGGCCAGGCCTGCCGGGACAGCCCCCGGGCAGGCCCAGCGCTCGTGCCTTCCCATCTGCAGCGCTGGGGAGAAGGACACCAACCTGACTGGGACTTGGATCCCCAGAGTGGACATTTCTGCACGGAATTGCTCCGTGTCTTGACAAATGGGGCACTGGAAGCACATGGTGCCGGCGTTCGTGGCCTGCCCCTGCCGGAGAAGCAGAAGCAGCGTGAGCGTGAGCGGGGCCTGGTGCTGCTGAGCGCGGGCCGTGGCCGCAGGGTGAGGGGAGGGCTTCTACCTGGACACAGCGGCGGTGGAACCAGGTGTGCTTGCATGCTGGGCACCACAGGGTCTGGTAGGACGTGCTGTCCTCCAGGGGCTCCAGGCAGATGACGCAGTCGGTGCCTTGGGGTGGAGCTGCCTCCGCTGCCTGTCGCGGGCGGTGCTCGCAGCAGAAGGACCTGGGGGACGATGCAAGTGATGGGCGCCGTGAGAAGCACTGCCAGGAGGGCAGAGCAGCAGGCAGGAGCCCCAGGCCCTGTCTCTGGCAGGCTGCTGGGAGCTGTCGCTGTGGGTTCCTCCCTGGCTTGGCTGCTGCTGACAGCCCTTACCTGTGCTGCCCAAAGAACTGGGTGACGCATTCACCGTCCGCGGCGCAGGGCAGGTGGAAGCTGCGTGCACAGCCTCTCTCTGCGCAGCTGATGGCGGCTCCTCTCTCGCCACAAACGAAGCATTGCTGAAAGGAACAAGGCAGCCCCGATCAGCAGCAGGCTCAGGGCCTCCACGGCCGGCCCCACACCTCTGGGCAGGGCACGGGCTGCGGAAGCTGCTGGGCCCCACTCTGCAGAGCCGCCTGGCAGAGAAGGCTCGTCTGCTATGGCAGGACTTTGCCCTGGAGCCCGCTGGAAGGGCTGCCATTGCTTTCTCTGGGTGCAGACTAAGCTGGCGTGAGCCTCTCCTGGCACAAAGCTCACCTTCTGGTCCGCCTGCTTGATTCTGCATCTGATGGTCTCAACGGGGAGGCACAGCGTTTCCTCCCAGGGGTCGCTTTCTTCAAAGAACGTGTTTTTCTTCAAAGAAAAAAGCTGTGGGAAAGAGCAGAGCAGGATCTCGTTAGGACAGACAGGAAGGGAGCATCCCTGGCAGGAAGCTGGCAGGAGCCCTTGAGGGTTGGAACTCACCAAGCAGAACTCATGCACGCAAAGGTCACTCTTGGCAAAGGTGCGCCCGCAGATGTTCGGGTCGACATCCGCCCGGCGACACAGCATGCACACTGGAGAGGAGAGAGCAAAGGCGGGCAGCAGTGAGCACCTTGCGGGGCCAGATGTCCCTGAGGGCGGTCCCCAGGGACCCCCCGTGATCTTTGCTCCTGCCCTTCCTTCCCTCTCAGCCGCTGGCAGACCCCCAGCACCCCTCTGCCCGGCGGCGGGGAGCTGCGCGCAGGGATGCTTTGCTCTCACCTTGCTCCCCGGAGTCGGGGGCCTTCCGCTTCCTACTGGACATGTTGCGCGTCAACGGTGAGCACTTGAAGAGTCCCTGCTCTCTCTGCACCTCACCAGGCCGCACTGACCACGCTCTGAGCCCGGCAGCCTTTGCTCTGCTCCCAGCCCCGCGGGTCACAATGGCCGCTCCCTGCCACCACTGTGACATCACGGTTACCCCCTCGGGGCGGAATGCGTCCCAGGCTCCCAAGCAAGATGGCAGCAGCCCTGGGCAACTGTTCCAGTGCGTCCCCACCCTCAGAATCAGCAATTGCCGGCCAACAGCCAGTCTGTATCTCCCCTCTTTTTTCAGTATTACGCATCACCTCCAGAAGAGCTGGTGCCCTCAGGCACACCTTTCCCCACGGTGGACCGCTTGCCTGGGTAACACACCAGATCTTCTTTGAAGGGACTCCTTTCCCTCTTGGCCCTTACAGAGAGTCTCCTCCACGAGGGGAAGGCTTGTGCCTCATTTCCAAGGGCTTTGCCAATGCCCCCTGCCCGTGAAAGGGATCCCAGATGCCTGCCTTTGCTGCCCGCCTAGTCCAGGCTTGCGGCCCCATTCTCCCAGTGTCAGAGTGCTCCCCTGCATGACAGCTGAAGTCTTTTCACATATCTCTCAGCTCACTCGTGCTCAGGAGTCAAATGATTCTCGTCTCCTTTATGAGTTCTGCCTCTTCCTCCTGCCGTTCTTGTCATGGCCTGGCTTCATTCTCATCCTCTTCTTCTACCCCCGTCTTAGAATGTATTTCCTTTCTTACTAAAGGAGCTGATTTTCACAGCCTCATTTTGCTCTCTTTAATAAGGGCGATGGATACTGGCACAGTAGGTTCTCTGGTTGAACCACGTGGGCTGTCACGAAGTCGGGTGCTGGTGCAGGGCCAGCTGGAGGCCTTTGGTGATGGAGTGACAGGCTGGGAAGGTGGGCCTGGGTGAACTTGATGAGGTTCAACACAGCAAAGTGCAGAGTTTGGCATTGGGCTGGAGGAATCCCAGGCATCCTTACAGACTGGAAGGAGCTCCTTGAGAGCAGGGGACCTGGGACCTTGAGAGAGAGGGACCTGGGAGTCTTGATAGATGAAAAACAAAACATGAGCCAGCAGCGTGCTCTTGTGGCTTGGAAGGTAAATGGTATCCTGTGCTCCATCAGAAGGCTGGCCAGCAGGGACAGGGAGGTGATTGTCCCCCTCTACTCTGCTCTTGTGAGGCCCCCTCTGCAGTACTGTGTCCAGGTCTGGAACCCCCAGTACAAAAAAGACAGGGGAGCTGTTGGAGAGGGTCCAGGGGAGAGCCATGAAGATGATCAGGGGCTGGAACAGCTCCCTGTGAAGACAGAATGAGGGAGCTGGGCTTGTTTAGTCTGGAGGAAAGAAGGCTGTGGGGTGACCTCATTGCAGCCTTTCAGTGCCTAAAGGGAGCCTACAAACAGGAGGGGAATTAACTCTTTGAAAGGATAGATAACTGCAGGACAAGGGGAAATGATTTGATGTTGAGGGAGGGAAAATTGAGGTAGGATGTTAGGGGGAAATTCTTTACAGAGAGAGTGGTGAGGTGCTGGAACAGCTGCCCAGAGAGGATGTGGATGCCCCGTCCATCCCTGGAGGTGTTCAAGGCCAGGCTGGATGGGGCCCTGGTCAATCTGGTCTAGTATTAAATGGGGAGGTTGGTGGCCCTGCATGTGGCAGGAGGGTTGGAGCTTCATGATCCTTGAGGTCCCTTCTAACCCTGGCCATTCTGTGATTCTGTGATTCTGTAATTATAACTCCCTCTGGAGCTTAGATGCCTCCCCAGGCTTTGCCATCACATCCAGCACCCGACTGGAAAGCAGCAAAATGGGTGTAGTTAGGCACAAGGGCTGGAGAGCAGAAACAGCTGGAGAAGGAATAGGTGTGGGCAGATGGATGTGGGATCCCACCCTCCCAGGTGCTCTCCCACCAGCTGAGAAGCCCACAGAGGTTGTTTGGACACGTATTTGCAGCAGCTTAGCTCTGTTTGCATGTGCAGCAATATGCTGGTAAGGCAGTGGGGTACCCACAGCTCACCTGGGTTCTACTGTGCCCAAATCCCAGACGTACGCTGCCAGCACTAAGTGGGAATCAGCATCACTCCCGAGGTGCCTCTACCTGCCTCCTTTTGTGATGTGGGAACAGGATTCAAGCACTGAGAAATGCTGTTTTCAGAGAACGAGGAACAGAGGATCTTGTGCCTGATTGGAGCCTCTTTGTACATACAGTTTAAAGCCTCAAGCTGAGATCTAACAATAACCTGATCCTTTTCATTTGGACGCTTGGTGGCTCCTCTGTCTTTTCTGATTCCATATTCTACTGAGATATGCATTAGTATCTCATATGAGAGTGGAAAGTTTGAGGAAAATAAATTTGGTGAAGTTTTCAGTGATTTCTGTTGCTTTTCTGTTGTCACCTCCCTCTGTCCATGCCCAGTGGCTGGTTGTCACACTGTTAGGTCCAACAGTCCACGAGCTGGTAAGAGTATTTAAAATTTGTCATTTCATATAAAAATCCTCTTAAAAAGGTGTTTGCCAATGGTATTACTGCTGAAAATCCCTCCAGCACCTGAGATTTAAACCTGATCAGTGGATACTGTTGAGTCAACTTCATTGTTTTAAAATGCAGAAGTGGGAGGGGAGGAAGGGTGAAGCTGGGGGCACTGCTCAGTGGCTCTGTCACTCCACTAGACTGCATTCAGAGCTAAAGGCAGGATGTGTGCTGCCATGCAGCTCGCTGGTGGAGGCTCCCATCCCCACGCTGGCCCACCTACCTCGCCTCACAGAACCTCTTCGTAAGCCTGGGACGGTCCTGGGCCCGCCGCTGCCGGAACCAGCTCTGCACTGTTCTGACTGGCAGGCCGCTTTGCTTGGCCACTGAGATCAGGTCCTCCTGCAGAACAGATGGGGAAAGCAGCGCCTCGCCTCCCTGACTTTGTCTCCATGTGGGGGCAGGGGCTGCTTCTGCCCCTCGGGGTCGGTGCTTCCCCAGAGACCGCCTCTCTTTGGGAAAGAACTGCATCTGCTGTGCTTGCACTGCTGACCTCCCGCATCACTTTGGCCGTCCTAAAACTCCATGCAGAAATACGTAAACCCAGGTTTGGAGCTTAGCACCGGCTCTCTCTGTCCAACTTTTCCAGCAGTGGGACTCAGTGCCTGCTCTGAAAGCCTAACTACAATTTTTTCACCTCTGAAGGTGAGTTTCTTCAGACCTCAGCCCAGGAGTCTTTCTGAACACCTTTGCAAAGCACTACCAGCAGGTTCTCTCCTCTGCATAAACTTGTTGACTCTTTGGGAGAACTCTGGCAGAGAAAGACATGATTTCCTCACACACAACACATGGGAGCTCTTTCCCACAACGTAATGTTCACACACGTTTCCAGTAACTCATGGTACGTTGTGCCAATCTGCTCGGGCCAGATGTCAGCAGCTCCTCACATTTCCACCTGGGACTTCCACCAGTTTCTGACACCACCATGGTTTGAAACAACAGCGACCCTGCTCAGTTGGTAGCTGAACTCTTTATTGTGTCAGCTCCCTCTTGGCTCTTGGGTGAATACCACCCAGGCTGAAGGTTTGCTGTTATTCCATTGCTGTTTCTTATAGAACCCCTTCATGCCCATCATTTGGTGGGATGCAGCCTCAGCAAGAAGACAGCTGATGTGGACACTGCCTGCTTCCAAGTAGGGAAGCCTTATGCAGGCAGCAACAGGCAGCTCCAGCCTGATCCCTTCTCACCCTTATTATTTTAAGTCTCCTACAGTTTTCCCAGTGTTTTTCAGAGCAGATTACTGCTGCCCTTTGTTCCTCAGTGTATTTCCTGGTATGTCCAGATCAATCTGCCAAGCTTACGAGTCCTTTCCTTGTTTAGACATGACTTCAGCTTTCTGCTGTTTCTTAGGGACGCCCCTGCCTGCAGGCACTGTCTGTTGCACACGTGCAGATGGGAAAAGCAATGTTGTTTGAAGCGCAGTCATCCAGTAAAGGCTCCCTTGGGCATACGTGTCTGAATCAAGAAACACAGTGGATGCACTTCTCCCATGTTTCCAGTGCGTGCTTTAAAAACACGACCCCAAGCAGTGCCCACTGGAGCCAGCAGCTCGGTGCCAGCTGCCAGCCCTGGGGCCCAGCTGTTCCAGTCTCCAGCTCAGCACTGCACAGCTGCCTAAAGACACCAGGAGAGGTTCTTTTTCTCACAGCTCACCTGCAGCTGGACATTCCATCTTCCCTGCAGCTTGATGACACTGCTTGGCGCACACATGGTGCGGTGCACTCCTTTGTTGCACACAGGGCTGATAAGGATCAATTGCAAAGAGATTCTGCTGTTGCACCCGGAGCTCCATTCGCTCTGCTGGGTTATTTTAGCAGATGTGACACGGAGTTTTGCTGCAGGTTTTTACAGCAGCTTCTCAGTTTTGAGGTCTGTGATGCTCCAAGAGGAACTGCGTCCATGGGTGGTGATAAAGGGAGTTGATGCAATGAATTCAGAAATACTAATGCAGCACTCACAAACTTCCTGACACCAGAGCAGACATAGAGCGAATGTGGAGCCATTGTGGGGAGAAAGCAGCACACAGAGCTTCGCTGAGCCATAGCAATTTGATGGCAAGAAAAAATCTGCTGTGTGATGGGCCACAGTGATTCACGGCTGCCATGCTCAGTTACTCAGTTGAAGTGTCCTAATTCAGCCCCCAAGAGCCCTCCCAAATCCTTGATGCATCCTTTCACAGTGATCAGATCAGCCTTACAATGAGCCTGGGCAAGAGCATTCTGCTCCTCAGATGTGTTGTGATTTTACAGCATCAATCCTTGCCGCCCTTCTGAAACCTCACGACAAAGAAGACTCCAGATGCATTTCCCTTCCCACGTCCCCACAGCTCCAAATCACCCACCAGGCTGTGGACTCCCATTGCTCTGTCAGTGTCACGTCACCTGGACTGCCTCTAGATTTAACACAGGGGTGCCCCAAACTGCTTCAGGGCCAAATGAAGCTTCACCAAGCAGGGCACAAAGGAGGCAGCTGCTGCTCTTTTCTGGCCGGCCTGATACGGCTGAATGCTCTGCAGCATCACCTCCATGCACGCTGAGTGTTCAACAGCCCTGGCAACAGCACCCAGACGTGTCACCAACCAGCCTGGTCACCTCCTGAGAGTCCAAGAAGTAGAAAAGAGCCCAGAGAGCCAAACCGTTCAAAAGTAATTTACAAAGAACTGTTACATTCAGTAGTACAAAACGATACATAACCATTCCTCCTGAGCTCACCGCCTGCAGAGGAGTGGCAAGATTGCACTTGTGGATTACAGAAACATGACCGTATACAGAAATTGTACTCTGAACTCTAAATTACCCCAACATCCAGAGAGAAGCTATCTTCAACAAACATGGATTTAATGATCCACATGAAATGATGATGCAGGAAGAGATGCTCTGCTCTGAGTATGTCACTGACCTCGAATCACCTGTGCTGGAACCACTTTTCCCTCTGAAGTTATCCAATATATTTTGATTGAAACCTAAGAGCAAAGGCTAAAATCAAAGCTTCCCCAGTCATATTTCAGGCGAACTTGGTGAGCTGCTGAAAACCCTCATCCTACTAGACTGTCATTTGCCTCTTAACTTTATAAATGTGCATCACCTCCTAGAATTGGGCATTTCCTTGGTCCGTGTCCATCAGTTAGCACTGGACCTTGCCAGGCACAGACAGGGAAGTGTCTGCATGGCCTGCGCAGACGAAGTCCCTGCTATTGTAACAGCAAATCTGTTAGTAATGTGGTTTCATAGTTTAATAGATCTATAAGACAGAAATCTGTGCCATACCTATTTAACTCTCCTAAGGCATTACAGAATCAAAAGTCTAAAACTACACAGGATATAAGATACAAAACGTCTAAAGGAATGAATCAGAATTGCATCATGACTTCACCGCCTACTGCTTTAAACTCCCAGCACATCTAGGCAGCGGCCCCAGAATTAGAAGCCTAAATTAAAGCATTGTGCCATGAAGTTCAGCAGATCTTCTCTGATTCTTCTCCCTCTGAGAACAGGGGTGTTCTATTCCCTTCTTACCACAAGCTCACTGCAAATATCTCCCACTGTGCCAATCATCCTACATAAAATCATGAGCACTTGATCGGTGTTGTCTTCTAGAATGTCAATTTCCTTGTCCCCTCTCTTCTCCTGAAATTGTTACTTTCCAAGATGGGATTCATTATCTGACAGCTGAGACACAACTGCTTGGATTTTCTAGCCCCTACAACCACGACTGGGGTGGGAACTCTCTTCATTACAGCCTTTGGAGTTCCCCCCCTTTGAGGCAACAGTGCTGACAAGAGAAGGGACTGAGATCCATACGTTACAAAACCAGTCACATGGCACACAGCAGCATTTCCTGTACGAAAATGTTTTCTCCTGTATCTTTCCAAAGCTTTTATACCACTATACACAGTTTCAATGTTATGAGTACATATGGGGCACCTCTGCTCTTGAAGGAGGTGTCCCTGTGTTAAGGTTTAGAGTTTCACACTTCCTGTCCATAGTCATTAGTGGCAGTGGGCTTTGGCTTCCAGAGGCCATTCCAAATAGATTCCTATCAAACAGCATTAGGCAGTTAAGAGGTGACATTGTCCAACATCATCCACTGTTCTGAGTGTTTTTTAAGATCAACGTGTTTAACACCTGCTGTGATATTGTCTAGTTCAAGTCAAACCACTTGGATCCCCTTCTATTTGCCTCAAGGCTACAACCTACAGAAAACTTATGTTGAAGAAAGACCAAAAACTCCCCTCAGATATCACTGACTGTACACAATTCTGTTTACAATAAAAACAAATTAGTTATGATACTGCAATTGCAATCTTTTATATCTATACAACAAGCAAAACTGCTTCTAAAGATGGTGGACCGGATTCATGACAGACACAAAGAGGGCTATCTTTCCTTGACGTGGCCATTGGTGAGATGGGCTCTGCTGTTCAGTGGCTCAGACCCATTCCTCTGGATGTCATTGCTGCTCGTGACATTGCTGAAACGTGCAATCCCATTTTTCTCTTTTTCCATCATGTTTTCTCTTTCTTCATCCACGTCACTCTCTTCTGTTTCACTTCTCATGTCCTTTTCCATCTACAAAAAATGTAAACGAGAAACAGTTCAAATGCAGAAGTGTACAAAAAGCAGTGCTAGCTGAGCCACAGGCTGAAACTGCTCCTTCAGCCACCTGCCTGCAGCATGCATTTCTGCAGTGTGCTTTTAGCTTTAGCTCACCTTTGCAAACAGTTTGATTTCTGTCCCAATTAAATCTTAACTGTGACCCTGATATTCATTATACAAACAGGTTGAAGCAGCCCCAAATCACAGCTGCCCAGGAGTGAGGACAGCCGTGTCAGAGTGAAGAGATCCACACTGCTGCTTTGGGCATCACCGTGCAGAAGAAGAGAGAGGAAAGGCCGTGCATCAAAATCTTACATTTTCCAAAGGGGACACGAAAATGGGTGCTGCAAGTCCAGCACTCAGAATCACAGGATCACAGCACAGCCTGAGTGGGAAGGGACCCACAGGATCCCTGAGTCCAGCTCTGGCTCCACAGCACCACCAAAACCCAAACCCTGAAGGTGTCCCAACGCTCCCTGAACTCCAGCAGCTCAGGGCTGTGGGGCCTTTGGTCTGCAGGGCACGCTGCTGCCTCAGACCCAACTTGCTCTTGACCAGAACCCTCAGATCCTGTTCTGCAGGCTGCTGTCTGGCCTCTGATCTCCCTATTGTAGCCATGGCCAGGGGCTGCACACCCAGGGGCAGGATTTGGCCCTTGCTCTGGCTGGACTTTATGATGCTGGGAATTGCCCAGCCCTGCCATTTGTCAAGGACTGTGCAAGGTCTCTTCACCCTTGAGGAGGTCATCAGCTTCTCCAATTTCAAGTCCTGTATCCTGTATCCAGTGTGTCCAGTAAAAAGGACAGGCTCTAGAATGGAGTCCTATTGGTGGCTGCCAGCCTGATGTAGCCCCATTTATCATAACTCTGTGAGCACAACCTATCAGCCAACTTTTTACCCATCACATCATGGTTTGGTCTAGCTGTACGCTAGATATTTTGTCCTGAAGGATACCATCTGAAAGAGTACTGAAAGCTTTGGAGACATCCAAAAAGATCACACTAACTGGCTCCCCTTGGTCAGTGAGGTGGGATCCTTGTTAAGCGCGTTAAACAGGACCTTCCTCTCATGAACCTGTGTTGGCTGTGATCAGTGAGCGCAGGCTGTTTTCTTCCCAGCCACTGAAGTCAATTTGACAGGCTATAATTAGCATGATCTTTTTTCTCGCCTTTCTTGAAAACTGGGAGAATGTTTGCCAACTTCCAGTTTACTGGGACCTCTCCAGACTCCTAAGACTGTTGAAAAATACTTGAGAAAACTCTTGGAGTACCCTGGGATGAATCCATCAAGCCCTATAGACTGAAGTGCATCCAGCTGGAGCAGCACATCCCACATCACAGAGCTACTCAACTCTGCATTCACATTTATATTCAGGTTTTTTTTTCCCTTGCTATCAAGAGATCTGCAGTCCACTTTTGTAAATATTTATTTCCTTGCCTAAATAAAGTGATAAATAAAGTGATAAAATGACAGATTAGAGAAAGCAACCTAACATTCATTGGCTTCTCAGGCTGCTTTTACTCTGCCATACAAGATGCCAAAATTGGGAACCCATTCACAGTGTCCATGCTCTTTGGTGGGAAGTGAACTGAGAGCTGCAAGCTTCGTTAAGACCGTGTCCATTGATGGACATACTCTATGGCCTCAATTTTTTATGTATGTTCTTCTGGATATATTTCTTGGATCACATTAAGCAGACTGAAGTCTGAAGCCTTTTCTAAAGATCTCCAATCCCCTAAAGAGCAGTTAGGAATAAGAATCTGAACTTGAGTGAATTCATATTGCCTGGAAGAGCAATAAGAATAGGAGATGCCACATTCTGTGAGCAATCTGTGTCATTCTGGAATTGGCAGTTGAGGAGCTATGCACAAAGAGCACTGATCTGCAGCTTAAGTGCAATTAGTAATCAGTAGTACTCTTCTAAGTGTTTTTTTTTAATTCAGAAATGCAGAATGTGGCTGAGGCCTTACACCTAGCAAGGTCCCCAGAGGAACTAACTAGACAGCTGCATGAACTAAAAAGGTGGTTGCCTTTATGAGGAAGTGAAACCTCTTACGTCAGGATTTGGCTGAACCCTAATTACTGAGGATTAGAGAACACCATATGTAAAGGTGATGCAGATAAACCTGGAGCCATGGAGGAAAATTACAGGGGTCAGCTGGGTGGGCACAAGGGGCTGTGGACAGTGGACTCAAACTGGCCAAAGGGATATTCCATGCTGTATAACATCAGCAATAAAAGCTGGGGTAAAGGAGGAAGAAGGGCATGTGCAGAGTGATGGTGTTTGCTCTCCCAAGAAAGCATTATGCAAGATAAGCCCTGCTTTCCTTGAAGTGGGAAGCTGTGCATGAAGTCCATGGGAAGCAGTGAATGAATTCCTTGTTTTGCTTCGCCTGATCAACTGTCTTTATCTCAACCCAACAGTTCTAATATTTTTCCCTTTCTGATTGTCTCCCATCCCATCGGTGGTGAGTAATGAGTAGCTGTGTGGCATTCAGATGCCTGCCAGGGTTAAGCCACAACACTTACAGATAAAACATGAAAAAATCTGAATGTGCTCCAGCCTTCCTGATAGCTCATTTATTTCTAATAAGACCACTTATTACCTCATCATTTAACACTGTAATAACTGTAGTGGCATTTCACCTCACAGGAGAATTAGGAAAACAGCAGAAAGGCCTCTTCAGTCACCTCTTCATTTTCTGCAGCGTGTGAAGTTTCTTGTTTTAATTTGTAAGTAATTTGCTCTGTGCTACCTTAAGGGAAGGCTGATGAGGAAGCTCTGGACAATATGGATGAAGATAAGTTATTCATGCTTGTTCTTAGTTCCCCTAAGACAGAATTCATAGAATCATAGAATCATAGAATCACCAAGGTTGGAAAAGACCTAAAAGCTCATCCAGTCCAACCGTTCACCTCTTACCAACAGCTCTCACTGAACCACGTCCCTCAGCACAACATCCAGCCTTTCCTTGAACACCCCCAGGGTCGGTGACTCAACCACCTCCCTGGGCATCCATTCCAGTGCCTGATTGCCCTTTCTGAAAAGTAATACTTCCTCATGTCCAGCCTGAATCGCCCCTGCTGTAGCTTGAAACCATTCCCTCTGGTCCTATCACTAATGACACGAGACTCTCTCCTATGATACGAGAGAAGAGGCCGACCCCCAGCTCACTACAGCCTCCCTTCAGGAAGTTATAGAATTCCCCAGTTGGAGGGTAAGAAAACAACTCATCCCAGGGTATGAGGTCAACTCCCACAGAGCACGAACTCGTTTCTCCTAGACTGTGTCCTTGGCAGATGGCCAACCTGATGACTTGAGGTCATGTCTTTGATTCTGAGAAGAATTTCATGCTGAGCAGCAGTTTGGTTTCACAGCAGATGCCACATGCTGTAGTCAGAAAGAATGGGATGCATTTCACCAAAGTTTATGCAGCTGCATCTCAGGCATGGAACACTGCTCTATGACTGATAGAGACAAACAGGCAATACCTAGCTGCGATCTCGAATGGATTACGCTTACTGAGTGCCCCTTTTGCCAGATGGATAGGAGTCTACATATGTAATTACATTAGTACAAGAAAGAATCAATCCCAAATAAACTTCTATGTTCCCAAATAGCTTTAGGGCACCCTCCCTCCCCGTGTGATGCACAAGGGACTACAAGCTGATTCCTACCGTGCCCTGGAGCATGAACTTGTAGACCATATGAATAATAAGGCAGGACCAGAAGATGTGAAGCAACTGTAGAGTTATCAGGAGAGCATTCACAAAGTAGTATCCAAAGAAGGGCTGGAATATCTCCATGGAATAGTAGTAGGTGTTATAGAGCACTCTGCAAGAGAGAAAGAATTGCACTGAAGGGTACTCATGTTCTTAGCAGGGCTGTAAGCCCCCAAAAGCTCTTTGTCATAGAGGAAGTTTCAGGTCAGTCATTTCCTTCTTCCATATAACATGTGAGTTTCCCACTGGAAACAGAGTAGAGCCAAAAGACAAGGACTCTTCTGCAGTATACATCAGGTCTTTACGACTCCTCTATGAACTCCAAAGCAGACCACCCTTGTTTACCCCAAGGCAGGTGCAACAGCCATATGACACTGTAATCTACACAGATATCAGAGACATGAGCTCAAGGATTGAAAAGCAAAGGCTGTAGCAAAAGATTCAGTCCACAGCTGAATTATCCTGCCTCTGAGAAGGCAGTTTTTTATTTTCCTTGACTGCAGCAGACTCACGTGTAGGGGAAAATGACCAGGCGGCTGATGAGGAAGACAGCTGAGAAGATCATGAAGAGGCTGTCACAGGTTTTTTTCCACTTCATGTAATTGAATATCTTAGTTGGCTGGAAGGAGAAAGAACAATAAAACAAAGCAGGCCTAGACACTGCATCTGCACATGCTCCAAGAAGCTAATAAACCAGATATAATACTATCCACATGCATGTAATCATCTCTCCTCTGTAGGGCACCTTAAGCTAGGTCAAGAGATCAGCAATGAGTTATCAGTGGAATAATGCTTGGCCCTTACTGCATTAGATCAAAAGAGAGCATTTGGCTGAGGAGCATCACTGCCAGCTAGGTTTTACCTGGCAAATAACCTTGGAGCTCACCTCTAGGAAGCAATCAGAAGCATCATGAATCACCATCACCAGTGTCCCAATGCGGATGTAATTGGCACAATATGAGAAACTGATCAGGAAGATGGTTGCAGCATGATGGACTATCTGCTCCTTGAAGTCCTGAAGAAAAAGGGGACAGGAGAAATAAAACACACGGTGTACCTTCTGTCTCAGTTAGAGCATGACTCCTGCAGGAAGCGATAAAATCTCTCAAAAAACCTCTCACTGTAATGTCTCAGAATAATAGAATCATAGAAACCTTGGAGTTGGAAGGGACCTCTGAAGGTCATCTAGTCCATCTCCCCTGCAGTAAACAAGGACATCCACAGCTAGTTATCAGGTTGCTCAGTCTTGTCCAGCCTGATTCTGAGCATCTCCAATGACAGACATCTACCACATCCATGGGCAACCTGTGCCAGTGCCTTGTCACCCTCACTGTTAAAGACATTTTCCTTATATCCAATCTAAATCTCCCCTCTTTTAGTTTGAAACCATTTCCCGTTGTTCTATGACCATACACTCTGCTAAAGAATCTGTCCCCTTCTTTCCTGTAGTTTTTCTTTAGATACTGAAAGGCTACTTCAGATCTCCTCAGAGCCTTTCCTTCTCCAGGCTGCACAGCCCCAGCTCTCAGCATGTCCTCATAGGAGAGGTGCTCTGGCCCTGGGATCATTTTTGCGGCCCCCCTCTGGATGCGCTCCAACAGCTCCATGTCTCTCCTATACTGAATCCTCCCCACCTGGACACAGTGCTCTAGGCAAATCTACAGTACTGAGCAGAAGGGCAGGGGAACCCCCCTCACCCTGCAGACCACACTGCTTTTGATGCAGCCCAGGATACGGTTGGCTTTCTGGGCACATTGCTGGCTCACACCCAGCTTCCTGTTCACCAGTACCCCCAAGTACTTTTTGGCAGGACTGTGCTCTATCCTTATATCCCCAGCTCGTATTGGCAGTGGGGGTTGCCTTGACCTGGGTACGAGGCCTTGCACTTAACTTTGTTGAACCTCGTGAGGTTCTCCCACACCCGCTGCTCAAGTCTGTCTAGGTCCCTCTGGATGGCATCCCATCCCTCTCATGTGTCTATCGCATCCCATGTGGCAGCTCACACCTTCCCATGCCAGGGTTTGCATTCCCCACCTCCCAGAGGAAAGGGAAGTGAGTGACTGGGAATGGAAACTCCTGGCAATGAGCAAGGGCAGAGTGCCACAGATCATCAGAACGGCACTGTAGGCGCTACACACTCCTGAACACTCTCCCGAGCTTTAAGCTTACATTCTCTTTACGCTTGACTCTTCCCTGGTGCTGTCACTCACCTTCCTCTTCACATCAAAGGGCAAGGTGAAGACCAGGGAGCAGTAGAAGGAAAGCTCCAGCATGTAGTACCAGAACAGAGAGGGCTGGAGAGGCTGCAACACCAAGGGAGAGACAGTGATAAACCCATCAGATAAAGCAGAGAGAGAGACGGAAACCACAGCTCCTCTCTATGCAAAAAAAAAAAACAACAAACCAAAAGAAAAAACAACCCATGAGATCACCACCATGAAAAGATCTGGTTCCTGCAGCATCAGGGGGACAAAAATCAACACAACAATCTAGTCACTAAACAAACATCAGCTGTGCTGAGGTAGAAACAAACAGAAGGGGACACTCTACTTTGCATTACCATGAGGAATATTGGGGAACTGGGGGAAGTTGCAGAAAGTCTTTGCTCTCTTCAGCACTGCGTGAATTCCTGAGCTGTCACTGCAGACCTTATCAAACTCTATTTACTGTTTCACTGCAGTGGAGCAGATTAGGACTTGAATAAATCATTCCCTTTGACAGCGTTCAGGGAGACGCTTCAGATTTCTTGGACTCTGTCACAGGTTTTTCAGTCTAATCAAATTATCGGGCAAAGGTACAGTGCTCCTATGTGTGAACAGGAGATCATACAGCATGAACTCATCTACATTCTTCTGAGTAACTTTTTCTGGGGTTTTACACGTGGAAGACTAAAAGCTCCAACGCAATTAGCAAGGTGTGTGCAAATTAAGCAGTAATTTTTCTGTTGGGAGCTCTGGATCAGAAGGCATTCATTTTGGGAGAAGAGATTTGGGAGAACAGATGCTTCTTTTGCCCTTGTCTGTACCACAGAGCATGGTTTGTTTAACAGAAATTATATTTCAAATATTCTTTGCTCCTGTTAGGACACAGGTATGTTCTTGACCCTTCCTACTCTTTTCCAGTGGAATGTTACCAGATCTGGTTTTGGTCTTTTCTATTTATTACAGCTGTTAGGAAGAGTTTTGTTATGAGGGTTTAAATTTTTCTGGAAAATACATGTACTGCAAATGTACAGAAGAGAAAATGAGGATCCGTAGAGTCCTATTCATACACCACCTGTTTGCACAAATTCACCCTTAAAATTTCTGCCTTTGGGTGACAAAAGATATTTGGAGGCTTGGTCTGAAAGATAGTACCTCACTCCTCACTCATATGCCCCATCATTGCTTCTGTGCTTAAACCTATGCACTGTATTTCCCTTTACAGGTTAGCAAATCTCAATGGACATTCAATTGCTCTTACTCTGACTGCCAGACCAAGCAGCCCTGCAGCACAAGCAGGGCTTGTCTCACTTTGTCTTGCTGCTGGAATCAAATTGTACTTCAACCTTTCCTTCAATTAATGCAGAACTTATTTCTCACCCAGGATGTTCTTGCATTGTAAAACCCTATGCATGGGAGCTCCCTGCATGATACCAGTGGAAATTATTATCCTGCCAGAAACACTTTGCAGCCTTTGGATTGCAATGAGCAAATGCTGAAGGGAATCAAAGTCTACCAAGTCAATAGCAGCCTTTTTGCCTCCTTCACTGAGCTCTGAATTGCACTGTCAGAACTCTGAGCATACCAGCAGACTCTGCAAAGGATTCCTCTGAGGGGGTTTAGCTGCCTGTGGTCAAGATCAGTTTCTCAGAGGGCCCATCTGTTTCACCTCAAATCACAAGAGCTGTGAATGAGCTGTGTGAGAAAGAGCAGTCAGTACCTCATCGAGGCCCTCCTCTCTCGGCTCAGGAGCTGTGTTTCAATTCCAGCCTTTGTGTCAGTTCTTGCTTGAACTATGATATAGGTACATTGTGTGTGCTGATGTACTTTACTCTCCTGGATCCACACACTCCATTTTTAGACTTATCCTCTACCTGCAGACTTGCCTGGTGACCTGAGCACTCAGCTGATCCCACCTGTATCCGCTCTTGTGCTTTTCCTCTTGACACCGACTGCTGCTGTCAACCTTTTCTCCCAGTTGGTTTCCCTTGTAGGGCAACACACTCCTTTGGTATCTGACATAAAAGGCAGATTTCATCTGCTCAGGAAGAAGTAACTTAACTAAAGATACTGAACTATTTTTCACAGAATCACAGAATGGCTGAGGTTGGCCCATCTGGAGGCCACCTGGACCAACCCCTGCTCAAGCAGGGCCACCCAGAGCAGAGCAGCACTGCATTCAGTTAATTAGAGTCCTCTGGGCAGAGGGTTAGAATCATAGAATCACATGTGGGGGTTCCAGCACTCAGTCACTTACACAGTGGAAAGTGCTCCCTTTTCCCTTTGCTCTTCTTAGCTCTGACATGAGTTCAGACTCCTCTAGTTTTGCCACAATACTCTGAAAATATTTCCCAGATGAAGCCTGTGGGATTGGTTTAGTTTGCAAAGGCTTTGTCAGCTCTGTGACGACCAACGATTCTTGCCTTTCACTGACAAGGACACAGTCCTGCAGCAAACCAAAAATGGTTCACTCTTGAAGAAGGAATGAAATGATACCTAGGTGTCTCACTAATTGATTCATAATGCTAATCAAGTCTGTATTTAAGAAGGCTGCTGCTATATAACAGTCATAAAAACATAAAGAAAAAAGATGGAACAGTCAGTGGTTCGTGCGCTCAGTGGGTGAAGCCCCATCCTAACTTGTCAACTTATGAAGTATGAATAGCTGGGGAGGCAGATGGGCAAGAATATATTCGTTTTTTTGTGATCCTTTAGCTGATAGGAGATGCTGGAGATCTCCAGCCCTCTGGACAGCTTCTCACAGTGCTGTTGTGGGAAAAAACAAACAAACACAGAATATACATTGGAGAACTGTAAAATAACATCCTACAAAATTAAAGGAAATGATGCTGTGTTGCTACTGGCCATAGTGCCAGTTCCTCTGGGAAACAAGCTCTGGGGAGCACTGTGGACACGATTCTTTGGTGTAGTGGAAGGATTACACCTCTCAGAGCATGTCCTCTGCTCTGTATGCTCTCCACTGAAGTTTTCTCCTCCTTTGGCAAAGTGTCCTAAGCCTCAGTCTCCTCCATTAAGTAAACAAGGAGCATGCTTATTTTTCAGTTCTTCGCTCACCTGGTCCAAAGTCTCACTTTCCTTTCCTTCTGTAAGTCTCCTTCTGCTATACTGACTTCTCCTCTATTGTGTTTGGATTAAGACAGATATTAAGATGTTATCTACTGACAAGGGTTTTGAATTTTTAAGACTCATCAATCTGAATTTTATTCAGTGCTCTCTCTTTTTTCTGTAATATAATCTGATGTTGAAAAGAGATACAGAGACAATACACAATTTATAACAGCAATTTTCTCTCCAGATGACTTACCTGTTGTGGGTAACCTGTCCAGCACTCTCTATGGTCCCAAAGCCAAGGCTTCTGGAAAGAAAATGCAACATGAATGACAGGAAGCCAGAGAAAGTCTTTTCTTATAAGCTACCTAAATCTCTTACTTGTTGGCTATCACAGATTTGCTTCATGTTATTACAAAAAGAGCTGTTAAGCTGTTAAGTATTGTTAAGTATTGCAGGCCACACACCCCTGCCAGGAACATGTTTTTCCTTCACATGGCAAGGATCATGCTGCAGGCTGCTAAGTAACGAACCTCTGAAAAGATACTGCTTTGTTTACACTTCAAAGAAAACTGAAGTTTAAAGCTTGTAGTTTGACAGGGCTTTACACTAGGTTTGAAGGGAGAAAGGGGTGACAGCAAGCCTGCTCAAGACAAGGTGTGGGATGGCATAGCTCAGTTAGCAGGACAAGGTGCTAGCGGAGGCCCTTCACCTGCTGCATCTTATGATGATGAAGGCAAGAAGGAGACCCAGGGTAAAAAATTCAAAGAATTAAGGAGCTGTTCTCCAAGGTGACAACACCAACTGCCCAGCTAAACTGCCTCTATACCAATGCATGCAGCTTGGGAAACAAAACAGGAGAAGTTGGAAGCCACCATGTCACTGGAAAATCATGATGTAGTTGTTGTCATTGAAACCAGAGGGATAATTCCTACTAGTGGAATGTGGCTACTGACAGCTACAAGCTGTTCAGAAGGGACAGGTGAGGAAGGAGAGTAGGACACATTGCCCCCTACATATAGGAAGGAATAGAGTGTGAAGAGCTGTCCCTGAAGAATGACCACAAGCAAATCAATAGCCTTTGGGTGAGAGTTACAGACTGAGGCAACAAAGGGAGCCTTGTGACTGGCATCTACTACAGGCTGCCTGAGCAAGTGGAGCCTGTTGATGAAGCGTTCTTCCTCCAGCTACAGGAGACTGCAGACTCTCATCCTGCTGGGGGACCTCAACCACCTGGACATCTGCAGGAAAAGTAGCACAGTGAGCTGTAGGCAATCCAGGAGGCTCCTGGAATGCATCAAGGACAACTTCCTGAGCCACATAACAGACAGCTCTATCAGGACGGATGCAATGCTGGACCTATTGTTCACTAACTGGAGTGAATTGATTGGTAACATCAGAATTGGAGGCTGCTTGGGCTGCAGTGACCATGTAACAGTGGAGCTCACAGTCTTGATTGATATTGGACAAAGAATAAAATCAGGAAACTTAATTTTAGGAATGCCACATTCTAGCTCTTCATGGAGTTAGTCAACAAACCCCTTCAGAATCAGCTCTTGAGGACAAGGAAGTGGAGCAGAGCTGGCAGATCTTTAGGGAAGCCTTACTTAGGGCACAAGAGCATCCCCAGGTGTAGGATGTCAGGAAAGGAATGCGAGAGACCAGCATGGCTGAGCTGGGACCTGCTGGTCACACTGCAGAGCAAGAAGAAAATGCACAGGCAGTGGAAACAGGGACAGGTAATCTGTGAGGAGTATAGGGACATTGCTGGGCTGTGAGGGGATGGGGTCAGGAAGGCCCAACTGGAAAAGGTCTTAGCAATGCAACAGAAGAACAAGAAAGGCTCCTATAGGTACATCTACCAGAAAAGAAAAGCCAAGGAGGGCATAGCCCCCTAGAGAGCAACACAGGCAGGCTGCTTACAACAGACAAGGAGAAACTGGGGTATTCAACAGCTCTTTTGCCTCATCTTTACTGGTGACTGTTCTACACACAGCTCTTAAGCGGATGATTTGGAAGGTGGGAGCTGAGGGGAATTGCCCCTCCCACTGTATGTGTCGTTGAGGATCACAACCTGAGGAACCTGAACATCCATTAGAATGCAGAAGAGAAGGAGGAAGTACTGCAAATCAGAGGCAGTGGTAAGTAGGAGTAGATACAGCCTCCTGCTGGGTGGAAGGTGGGATTCACAGCAAATACAGGTAAGGAACCAGAGATGCGTGATGCAGTATCAGAGACGTTGAAGTAAACACCCTGAAACAACTGGGACCCAGAAAGGAATCTCACATCTCTGCAGTCTATCATTCCTATACCAACAGCAAATAAATCTCTTTTCTGGTAATCTGTGAGATAAAGTTATACTGTTACTAGCTGATATACTAACTCTAATACACTAACTCATGTGGCAGAGGGTCGTGCAGCCAGCTGAAAGCTAATACTATAGAATTTAAGCTTCAAATTTTCTTGTTTTTCTTTTTCTAGATAAACAAGAAAGTTTCACAGAAGTTTTGTGTGTGTGTGTGTGTAAGATATCTAATGAATGAAGAAAAGATTTTCAGGAAAAGTGCAGGTGGTCTCATTCCTAGAATGGGCAGGTGACGTGCAGAACAAGATTTTGTTCCTTCTGTCACGACAGAGATCTTGAGCTATGCTGAGCAGGTCGTTCATTCCAAGCTTTCACAGCTGGCTTCACAGAACAGCCTTCTATTTTGATGTAAAGAACTACAAAACAGTATAGGTTTAGATACCTTCATTCCTGTGTTAGCTCATCCTACCTCATACTCATCAGGTACCTTGCATTCTGCCTTGAAAGTTTCTGAGTTTCACAGTTCTTCAGTTATTATAATGAGCAGCTTCAGCACAGTCTGTACCCATGTCTTAGGATCTGCAGATTTCTCCACTCCAGAAGGTCTCAGGGGAGAACACTTTTACAAAGCTCACCGAGGAAACTGGGTTGAGCACAAGGGCCAGGGGAAACTTTATCCCACACTCAGAGGAGGAAGATGCCCCTCGTCCCAGCACAGTGACCACACTCAGGATGAGAGTGTGTGGCATGATTTCCACTACCTTCTCTGCCTCAGTGATTCAACCCATAACATTTAAGTCCCAGCCTTCTCTTGTTGAAGCTAGTCTATCTGTATAAAGAGGAATCACTATTTATCAGATCAGAGAAAAGGCAGACACATGAACTTCACCTCACCTCTTGGCTAAGGAAAACACATACATAAAATTTTTGAACTGCAGCCCACCCTCCAAAAGAAATAAGAGTACGAACCCAGTACTGGACACAACACACAAACAAGCCATGCAGCTTCTGTCCCAGATAAATGTTCCATCTCTCACACCATACACTGTCTCACAATTGTAATGATCTACTGCTGTGTCAGAGGAAGAGGAAATCTGGTTTTGCCTTAGAGTTCTTAAGGTACGCATGGTTCCTTGTTCTTGTGAGCTCAACAGTGTGCTGTGCAGAGGACATATCTGATGGGAAAATCTCTATAAGGTTTGAAAGCAAAGGTTTGGCACCAAAAACTGCCATTCTTGAGGCACTTCCCAGATAGGACAGAAGGTGGCACTGCTTCTATACTCACATCATACAGTACAGCCAGCCCAGTGAAGAAAGAAACGATGTAAAATGCAAACCTCCAGCTACAAAGAAAGAAAGAAGGATGTCAGTAACCCATTAACCACGAAGGTACAATTCTGTATATTAATCCCACTCACACATGATGCTGTTAAAGCAAGCAAAAACATCAAAATGTTCAAGGTTTGCCCAGATCCTAACAGATTCTGTATATTGTTAGCACGTTCAACAGGCGCCACAAAGGCTGTTGAAATCACCCAGATAATGATCTAGGTGATTATCATTTTCCAGATAATCATTTTCTGGATGATTACCTGGAAATAGCTCAGATAATCATACCAACCCTTCCCAGCCCAACCAGATGCATGTGTAAAATTCCAACAGTGCCAATCTCCTCATTAGGCTTTTGAAGATTAGGTATGCTAAGTTCATTGTCATGTAAAGCAAATGACTGTTGTCATGTTTGGTCTCAGTGAGAGTTGCTAATGAGTTAGCCACATTAAACCCACAGAGATGCACATATAAAATACGTATAAAATAGAAGTTCAGTGGAAAGTGATGTGTCATGGTGCATATTTACACATACAGTAAGGAATGAGGGAAATTTTATCCCAGCAGAACAAACAAGCAGCTAACAGACTAAACACAGAAAATCTGCAAACGGGTAAAACTGCCTATAACAGCTCTTAAATTACCAAGCATCTCTGTAACAAATTGGAAGCAGCTTTATGTTTTGAAAGACTCCATTCGTCCATGAAACACTCAGGACTCCAAGAAAGACATAAGCTACTATTTCATGTTGGAAGGGCATTCTTTGTGTAGATTGCAAACAGCAACAGAGGGCAGGCAGAAAGACATTATAGTCAGTGGGCTCAGTTAGAAACCTATTTACTGTTTAGTGTTCACTGCTACTATTTACTGCAAGGCAGCTGAGTGCAGGGAGAGCTTGGATTTCATCTTGATAGAAGCAGATTAAGCATGTTTGTTTTACAACTCTTTGTCCACAGTGCAGTAAATCTTTCTAACTGTAATGATCAGGAATGCTGTAAATAAATAATATGCACCCTTTTTGTTTTGTTTTCTCCATTAGGGGGTTAGATAGGAGTTCTGAATTAGAGTGAATAGTAAATGGATTGTCATCAGCTCAGAGGTGATGCCTACCCTACAGATACACTTTTAGTTAGACGAATGTCACTGTAGGTATTTATTTTCTCCTTCATCTCTGTGGCCTTCCTGTAAGAACCTCGTTCTCCACAAGTGAAGCAGATCAAGCACTCAGCAGTTTGACATTTCACCCAAGCTCAGGAGAGTTCTCCTCCTTTGTGGAAAGCTGAGCCAAAGCTAACATTTCTAAGAGGGCTAATTTCTAAAGTTTTACCAAAACATTCTTGGCATTCCTCTACCCACAATTCTGTATTCTGGGTTCACTTCTTCTCCCACCAAACCCAACATACAGGAACTTTATATAGTTTATTATAGCTTGTATTATAGTTATATAGTTCCAATTATATATAGTATAACTTTATATAATTGGTAGAACCAATTGCTGAGTGATGGTCTACCACGTACTATTACAGAGCATAACCTCTCAGATCTTAACATCTGTAACAACCTTAGGTTGAGATTTTCATAGCCTTTGCACAAGCATGAGGATCAAGCGGGGTCCTGAGACGGAATCACAAAGACACAGGCTGGGGAATAGCTGGGGCATGCTCACGTGGGTATGGGCATCAGCGTAGAACAGTTTCCTAAAGGGCTTTACAGTCTGATTTTTTGCTGTAAAATGGCCTTGATGATAATTCATCTAGATTCTGGCAAGGAGGAAATCCCAGCCTAGAAAGCCTGTCTAAGCATGGGGACAAGGATGGACAGTCATGGAGCCCCAAGAGTTGCACAGCTTCTGACCTCAGCTGTGCAACAGGCTGCCCCCGGCCAGCTCACCAGCACCTCCAAAGGCAGCAGTGAACATGCAAGCATGCAGCCACCACAAGTCTGTTGGGACTATTGCTGTGCTACCACTTCAATCTGCATTAGTTGAAGTAACTAAAAAGTGAGAAGTCCAATTATAGTCCTCCTTTACCAGACCTGCTTGTGTCTCCCACGAAAATCTTTTGTACAAGCTCTCTTTCCTGACATTATAAAAGGATTGTACTTTCTGGCTTTCAGGGAAGTTGAGAGTCAGCTGCCAACAGAATGCAGTCTAGCCCAGCGTCTGTGACTTTTGAAAGTAGCACTGTGGAAAATAGCTGCTGGAAAGATGCAGCAGAATCATGATAGAATCATAGAATGGCCTGGGCTGAAAAGGACCACAATGATCATCTAGTTTCAACCCCCCTGCTATGTGCAAGGTCACCAACCACCAGACTGGGCTACCACCAAGGCCACATCCAGCCTGAGCTTGAATGTCTCCAGGGATGGGGCATCCACAACCTCCTTGGACAATCTGTTCCAGTGTGTTACCATCCTCTGCATGAAAAAGTTCATCCTAATATCCAACCTAAACCTCTCTTGTCTCAGTTTAAAACCATTCCTCCTTCTCCTATCACTATCCACCCTCGTAAACAGCCGTTCCCCCTCCTGTTTATACGCTCTCTTCAAGTATTGGAAGGCTGCAATGAGCTCTCCCCTGAGCCTTCTCCATTTATCAGCTTGCAGTGAAGCAAATGGGAGGGAAACAGAGAGGCAATGGTAGGCTGCTCTGGCATCATAGAAGCAGTAGCAAAGCAGCAGGAAGCAATACGAAGCAAAACAATATTGAATTTCTCAGATATTATGTTTCAAAGCAGAGTGTCAGTCTTGCGAAGTCAAAAACAGGCATCCTAAAAAGCATAAAGTGAGACAGGAGTAAAAGGAATCTTGGGGATGAAAATAAAGGGGAGAAACAAGGAACAATTCAGGAACTGGTAAGCAGCAGCAGGGCCACAGAAGAATCAAGTGGGGCAGAGAAGGTTCAGGAAGCTCTCTGTGGATGAGTGCAGGCAGGCTGGAGGCAGCAAGATGCTTGCCAAGCTCAGAGCCAGCAAGAGGCCCTGCAGCTCACAGCTTGTGCTCCTGCTCACCAGGCCTCACAGAACTTCTTCGACAGGCTCGGTCGGTCGGTGTTCCTCCGGCGCCGGAACCACCTCTCCACCTTTCTCACTGGCAGGTCACATTGTTTGGCTAAACTGATCAGCTCACCCTGGAAAACAGGTGAGGAGGTGGGATTCAGATTCAGGTTTGAGGGTCAGAAGGCTCCAGGGCTGTCTGGTCTGGGCCATCACAGAACATCGCCGAAGTTCCGGGCGAGCCCAGGTGTGTTCAAGCTAAGGCATCTTTCAGCAAGCTGTCCATTCCTAGTATAGAGATTTCAGGTAACAGAAAATCTTCCACTTCTGCTTGCAAGCAAATGGTTATTAATGCTAAATGTTAAAACCTTACATTTTAATTTTTATGACAAAGTCTCAGGTTTAGAGTTTCAAACTGTGGTCTCTTCTCACAGGTGTTTCTTCTTGAATTATTTCATTTGTCTTTAGTGTCCAAGTCCCTTAAATCTGTCACTCCAATAAGGTTTTACTGAAGCTTAAATAACTTCTAAAGTTCTACACTGGATCTTGTCAAGTCTTTCAGCATTCCCATCCAGTATCAGAGAACAACATGACCAGTGTAATGAGCAACATCATTTTCCTACCAGTTATTCTCCTTTTGTGGTAAATTCAATGGATTACTCACAGAAATACTGCAATTACCTTCCTTCTTGCCCTTGGGCTCCTAAAGAGTTTGCTGCGCGACACAGAAGTTGTTCATCATTTTCTATATTCCTTCTGAAAGTGTCATCAAGGATAGCTCAGTAAAGCAATAGGCTTTCAATGAATGCACTCACCTTAAAGGTCTCACATACAGTGCTTTACATACCCTGAGAGTGCTGTAAAGATCTGTGTCCACTACCATTGTCAAATATATTTCTTTCTAATTTTACCTAATGCTCTTGGGGTGGAGTCACACAGATGACTGTGATTTCAATGCTCCAATTGCTCCATGAAGTGATATCCCTCTCAAGGTGAGGGCTGCTGAGAACAGCAAAATTACATCTTACAAAAGCTGCCACATAAGCAGGATTCTGAGAGCTCACAGGAGGGGAAGGAAGCCAAAAGACTGGCTGAGATGCAAGTGGTGAATGAGAGTAGGGCATTGGCCGGTTGCAGTTTTGCTCTGTGACACACTGATATCAGAAGTCTCACAGCCAGATACACTCTGATATCCCAGATTTTCTAGGACAGAAGTGCAGATTTCTGCTCCTTCAGTGCACTGGGGTGCAGTAACAGCTGTATAGAAAGTCTGCCTGCAGAGACAGGCCTTGAGTTAGATCTCTGCAACAGGAGTAGCTCTACTGAGAAATGTGCAAATTTCTCAGACAGACACAGAGAAGGTCGGAGACCATGGCAAGTGATCCTGAGAACATTCCTTCCCATTGCTAGGGAAAGAGGCTGGCTGCACAATCCAGATGAATGCCTGCATTCTTACTTTAGCCTCTATTATTTTACCTTCAAGCTGCTGCTGAATGTCCTGGGGCTCCGTATGCCCCACTGCCATATGAAACATGCTGAAACAGCCATGACAAGGCATTAACTTGTTTGCACTAGGACTGTCCAGTGGGACTGGAATCCCTACTCCTTGGTAGTGGCTATTAGCTTTTGCTTCAAGGCCAAGACAGCCTGCAAAAAGGAGATGAAAGGTAATGTTGCAATTGGGCTTACACAGCAAGGTTTTGTTAGCAGAGGTGGCCTCTGTGAGCATAGCCCAGCAGCTGCCCCTCGTCGGATTAGATCCAGATCCAGCTGCTCCAAAAGGGACCTGCTACAGCCAGAGCTCAGTTGTGAGCGATGCTTGTTACACACACTGAAGAAAGGGAAAAACTGCTGTTACTGAAAGAGAGGGAAGAGGAACAGAGAGATGAGCAGCTCTGCAGCCACCGAAGTAGGCACAGAAGGAGAGCAGGAGGAGCTCCAGAAGCAGAGTAGAAGATCCCTGAAGCCCAGGAGAGGTCATGGTGGATCACATTATCCCCCTTCAGGCCACGGGCACTGCGTGGAGCAGATCTCCACATACAGCCATGGAGCAGCCCACAGTGCAGCAGTAGATGTGGACTGGAGGAGACTGCAGCCCACGGAACCCAGCAGGAGCAGCTCTGGGCCGGAGCTGCCACCCGTGGTGATCAGTTTGAGGGAGGCTGGACAAGCTGCCACTCATGGGGCCCCATGTTGGAGCAGTGCTTGGAAAGCTGCAGTCTGTGGAAGGCCATGCAGGGTCAGTTCAGGAAGGATGGCATTCATGGGAGGGGCCGACATGGAGCAGGGGCAGATAGTGACCAAGGTGGAGCAGTAGAGATAGAGCATCGTGGACTGACCACAGCTCCATTCCCTGTCTCCCTGTGCTGCTTGGGGGGAGCAGGTAGAGGAGTGTTTGAGTAAAGGTATTTTAGTTTGCTTTTGGTTCTCTCTGCTCTGTGCCGTTACTAATAGGCAATGAATTATATTAATCTCTCTATGCTGACTCTGTTTTGCTTGTGATTGTAATTAGTGAGCACTCTCTCTGTTCTCATCTCAACCCTTGAGTCCTTTTCCCTCTCATTTTCTCCTCTCATTCTTCTGATGAGAGAGAGTGAGATAGTGGTGTGGGGAGCTTTTGCTAGCCATCAATTTGATATTTGAACTCACCACAGTAATTCCCTTACATACAACACAGAGTTACATCCAGGGACTTAACTGACAAGGTTAAATCCCAGTACAGAATATCTGCAGTTCTGCCAATGCTTTTTTTCCTCAGCCACAGCCATTATAATTCCAAATTATCCTGCCAAGATCACCCTTTTTCTCTCTCATGGGAAAACTATCTACTACTTGTGCTTGCCGTATTCTGATGGTCCTTATTGTGTCTCTGAGAGAGAAGATTTTAATTGGATTCCTGAAAGATCAATCAAAAAAACTGTGGATTGTATAGCAACAGAACAATTTGCCTTCCAGAACTAAAAGAATCATGCAATCCACATGTGCTAAGCTGCGAGGGAAAGTCAGTTCAAGTGAGCTGATATGACAGCAATTTGCTAACACACAAAGAAAAGCCATGTACAAGGCAAACAAGAGCAAACAGGTGTTTGGAGAGAAGTCTCCTGTCCAAACAAGTCTGAGATTCAATTCCTTTGAGTGCTGTCCCTGGAAAGCTGTTATTCTCACATGTTCAGAAGCAGAACTGATGACTTACAGCATCTGCAGGATGATCTTTGCGGTACACTGGTGTCAGGAGGCCAGTGCTACAGTGTTTCCTTATGGTCTGCTGAATGTTCAAATGCAAGATTCCGAATGTGATTTCATTTAGGCAAATAGACAGGGGCTAAATCTAGAGGAAAGCAAAGGAAAAAAGGACTCACCTCTTTAGGGTTCCTACAATTCACAGTGTAGAATGTTTCCAGAATGGAGATGGGCTGAGCTTTAGGTCTCAACTTGTCCTTCACACCTAGTTTGGCACTGAGAGGCAGGGCTATGGCTCTGCAAAAGAAAAGATACAAGTTCAGCCCAGAACAGAACAATGATTTCTAATGCTGTAACACTGTAAAACATTGCGTGTACGTAACGGTTTCCTCCTACAGTTGCCTCCTACAATTCCGAGTCACAGTACAAGTATCACATCAATCAGGTGAGGAAGACAAGTACAAAACCTTGCAGCAGAAACAGCAAGACTTGTATTCTGCAGGTCTGAGCTCTGTTCAACATTGAATGAGTTTGGAAATGTTACGTCCTGCTTTGTCAGTGCTTGCAGAGACAGCTGTGATCCCTGCCGTTGCTTTTTGGCTTACCTGCAGCTTATGCAGAGTGCCACATTGATGGTAAGGCCTAAATCTAGGTGACATTGGGGTCCGACAGAGACATCTGTGTCCCATCCCACGTTTACATCTGGGCGATAGTGGGGGCCCCTCAGTCCCATCCCATGTGGACATCTGTGTGACACTGAGGACATCTGAGTCCCATCCCAGGTGGACATCTGGGTGACCCTGTGGACAAAGGGGCCCCATAAGGACACAAGGGTGACACTGGGGTCATCTAGGTGACCCTGGGGACATCATGGCCCATCCCATGAGGACGGACATCTGAGTAACACTGGGAACATTTGGGTGACATTCAGGACATCTCTGGTCCCATCCCACACAGACATGTGGCCTAATCGAGGTGCTCCTGCTCCGGCAGGGGGATTGGACTAGATGACCTTTGGAAGTCCCTTCCAATTTCTGATATTCTGTGATTTTGTGATTCTGTGAAATGCTGTTCAGTTTTTATGTGGTCATACAAGGGCACTCACTTGAACTAAGGACTGGGCTCAGGATCAAAAGAGAGACTCTGAGACATGCAGAATTAATGGAAAAAGACTTCCTGATGAAACAGGAGGCCGCTTGGTCTTCATTGGAAAAATGTTCCTCAGTTTTTCCTATGGCAAGTCAAACTGTGAGAAAATAAAGGGCACAGCAACGTCATATTTAACCACAAGGACTTGTGCTACCTGTGCACCTTCACTCTTTCAAAGTGAAACAATGCAAAGAAAAACATCTATATAACAAGGAATAAGTACCAAGAGAAGACAAAACTTCCTGTGCTCAACAACTCAACTTCTGCGCTACAACCGTTCTTCTATTCCTTGGCACAAAGTAATAATGTGGTGTGAAGCATCTAAGTATTCCCTGACCTGATGCTCTTCCACCAAGGGTATATGTTCCTGTTTCTAAACATGAAATGTGCAAAATGTCTGGGAAACCTTATTTCTGCATTTTGGAGATCTTTTATTTTGCTCAGAGTGCTTAAAGCTTACTTGAATGGTCACTGAGTTATCAACTGTAAATCAGTGCTGACAGTGGTTGTGAGCTGATGAATATGCAGCAAGTACTGAGACGCAGGCCTGCCCTGCCTGGCCAGACTTAATTCTGTTCAGGCAGCTCCTCTGGTAAGTTATCCCAAACGATTCAGATATCAAGAATTCTTCTTTTCCACAGCAGCAAACAAACTGGAACATTCGCTATGCAGGTATTTTAAAAGTGTTTTACTTAACAACAGTATATGATTTGCTGGTTGCCTGTGGTTACCTCTTCTAGCTACACAGACTATATTCCACATGTTCATGTGCTCAGGGACTATTATAGATCAAAAATCCTATCAGGGGGTTCTTCTGGAAGTTTAATTTTCAAAAACCTGTATCACCAATTAATAAAAAGGTATCAGAAGCAATTTTCTGAAGAACCCAACTACATACAGAATTTTGCAGCTTGTATTACATCAAACCATAAAACACAAAATGGTTTGCACATTTGGCTTCTTTGTGTAGCAGTTGATTTCAAACATTCTTTGCATGGCCAGCTCCAAATGGCCAGCTGTTGTTTTTTACCTTCTCTTTAGCTTTCCAAGAAGGTTGATTCAAGCTCCTCTGAAAATGAAGATGTAATCAGTTTCTATTGTTTAAGAAGAACCTTACTGCAGTTTCCTATAGGCTGGAAACAGAATGGTCTGAAATTTTTCCGACAGATTAAAGGGAAAGAGAATGTTTCTGCTGGGTGCCAGGGCAGCCAACAAGTTTGAAAAGCTATTTAAATTATCCTTAATTTTGGTTAATGCTTATTTTCTCTTTCTTAACGTTTTGTCACAGCCACAGTATAAAATCTCACTGTAACAAAAACAAGCCAGTTGCAGCTGAAGAAGACAGGGTGTGAGTAACCAAAGTTCCAATTACTTTGTTGTTGAGGTACTGAATTTAACCATCAATTATAGGACCAATCCTAGTTTTATGGACATTATTGGGAAATCAAGCCGTGAAATTCCTCCAAAGGGATGTTTGTACATGTTGGATGCGTGCTCTGACTCACTTCTAAGTTTAATCTTGTTCCAAGCACAGCCCTAAGAATGGTGCTTGTACTGATTTCAACATCACAGGTCCATGGTATCAATTGCCAGGGATTGTCTCATCAATGGAATCTTCACAGCTTGCTAAAACATGGAAGAAGAGAGACTGAAGACCGTATTGGACAGTTTCCATACGTAAGGCAAGCCACAGTCAGTGACATGATTCAACTCAAACCTGTTTCCTCTTCAGTCAGGTTGAGGTGAAAATAGTTTCTCCAAAGTTTACAAACGAAAGTTCATACTAAGGCATTTTATTCAGTAATCACCAATGAGCAAACTGTCTTGTGCAAAACCATAATCCCTCACCTGCAGAGGCTTCCACAGCTAGTATGAAACAAAATAATTTAGCTTTTGTGAGTTTATTTTCCACAAATGTTACAGAATTTCTAAGGTTCTAAGGGTTAAGAATTTCTACAGGATAATTTCAAACAACTCTGCCAGTATCTTCCAGCACCAACAGCCAGTGACTGCTGCAACTTCTACCCTTGGAATTGCACAGTTCCTTGAAGCCTCATACACTGTGTTGGCTCTCTGTGCTCTTGACATCTCTTCTACGTGGTTCCAGGAGAATTCTACCAGAAGCTATCATCACAGCTATGTTGTACAGAACAGCCAGTTTACACTTCTGCACCAAAAAAAACAACCAACCCAGAGCACCTAAGAGGAAGATGCTCTCAGGTACGTTTCAATTTCTGATTAATAACAAAAATCTTTGTGGAAAATGAACTGCAGATAAACGCATTTTCAAATAAGCTGCTTGAAAAGGGTTTTCTGTTCCATCTTTTTTTCCTGGTTCTGAGTTCATATATTCTCTGCAGATGAACAATATTTCTTTCTTATAACGCACAAAGCATGAGTAATAAACTGCCACAACCCTCCTAAAGAAGAGACATAACCATTCTGACTGAACCAGGAGTCTGTTTAAAGAGCCATTAAAAACAGTCCAGATTTAAGACATTTTCTAATGCTCTTTTATCTCCCATCAATAACTTCTTGCTATCTTGACCCCTCCACATCTTCCACACAGCTATCGCCATGGAAATTTCTGCATTAGCTACATTTGAAAAAATGAGATTAAATTTATGATTTTTCTTGTTAATAATCCTGATTTACTGCTCTGCTCCCATGAGAAATGCACCAATTCACATTAACAGGCACTTCCTCTTTTATAGACATAGAAATTATTCAAAATTTGCTAACTTGGGAGAAGTAATACTTAGTGGGCTGCAGTTGTTCACCTTTCATTGGCAATATGCTCAGTTACTTCTGAATTAACAGGCTTACATGGAGAGAAAGCTATCTCAACAGTGTAACAGCCAGCCTCCTCCAGCCCTATAGACCTGAGGAATGCCAGAGGCAGGCAGGTAGAGGAAGGAACTGGAGCAAAACTAAAATAAAGTTATTTTTCTCCCATTCTTTCCTGCACTCAGGGAGTCTGAAGGAAGGTAAATCAATGAATTAGGAGGTAACAGGTATGCTCGTGGTGAAGACTTTCTCCAGAATGTGGGGCACTTTGGTGTAGTTCTATCCTCTGACTCAGAAGATATAAGACAGTAACAGCCAGCAGATCAAGGAGGGTGTTCTGGAACATCTGCCCCAAGTCCTTTTGGTTTATACCGTTCCATTTGGAGGAAAATGCTCAAATATTGATTGAATTTCCAGGTAAATTCTGTCTACCGTACTAAACAAGTGTATGTTAATTTCATTAAAATAATAAATTTGTAAAGTCTTACAATGACAGCTAAGTAATATAAATACATATATGGATAGGAATCAGAGTTACACTGTTGTTTTTGCGCACTTGTTAAGAATATGTTCCATTTGTGAGTAAGACTGTGTTTAAAATTTCTTCATTTACTCCCTAGCATTTGATCCTCTGTAAATTAACATGTTGGTCCTAAGCCTTCATATAAAATTTAGGCCAATAAAATTTGTCCTAAATGGCTAAAGAGCTTGCAAAGCTTGTTCTTCTTCCACTATTGCACAAGAGGATAGAGGGGTATTTTTTTGCTTTATCGTGTGCATCAGCAGGGAAGCTCCCTTCGTCAAAGGCCAACTAGATGCCAAATCCTCCTCCCACCCCTTCTTCATCTTGAGAAGAAGGAATGTTACAAGGGCTCAGGAAGTGAACTATTCCAGTTCTCCCTGCAACACAATGGCTAAAGTCAATGTCAAGTCACAAACTCGGAGCTGTTTATTGTGCCTTCTGTTCTTGGAAGCTGCCACTAATTCATTGCTCCATGTAGTTACCAAAGACACACAGAAATCAGCAGATTTATGGATCTTGGCACCTGAAGGAAGCATTAGGCTGTGTGAAGCAAGGAGAACAGTTGTAGTCATTCACATTAATAATGTGACATTAATGATGATGGCAGCCCGAGGCTTGGATGGATGCACTCTTGGCTGGGTAAGGAGCTGGTTGGAGGGCCGGGCACAGAGAGTGGTGGTGAATGGAGTGAAATCCAGCTGGCGACCGGTTGTGAGCGGTGTTCCCCAGGGGTCGGTGCTGGGGCCTGTCCTCTTCAATATCTTTATTGATGACCTCGATGAGGGCATCGAGTGCACCCTCAGTAAATTCGCAGATGACACCAAATTGGCTGGAAGTG